AAGTTACATTTCTTTTTTTTTCCCCCCAAGATTTTATTTATTTGAGAAGTAGAGTTACAGACAGAGGGAGAGGAAGAGAGGTGGTCCATCTGCTGGTTCATTCCTCAAATGGCCACCACAGCCAGAGCTGGGCCGATCAGAAACCAGGAATGCTAGGGCCATCTTCTACTGCTTTCCTGAGCCATGGCAGAGAGCTGGATCTGATGAGGAGCAGCCAGGACTAGAACTGGCGCCCATATGGGATGCCGGTGTTGCAGGTGGAGGCTAAGCCTACTGTGCCACAGAGTCAGCCCCTAAGTTATATATTTCTTTTACATCTTTCTGGGTGTCTGGTCGAGAGGAGACAAGATTTTCTGCTTACAGTGATGCAGTAAACTCTGCATGTCATGGGGAAGGAAGGGAGAGAAATGCTTTAGGAGACTGATCCTGCATGTTTAAGATTGAAGATCTCCATTGAAAACTCTTGCCTGCTGCTGATCCCAGCGCCCCAGTTTTGGCATCCATCAGCAGAAAGTTTGCTTCAATTTAATTTTTCAATCAGAATTGTGTGAGCTGAACTAATTGAGATGTCTGTGGTGTTGGCTATTGTTTCTGCTGTTAATTGTTGCTCCCCTTCAATTAGGGCACAAACATAATTAATTTTCCCTTGGAAATTGATGTGGATGGTCTGCTACTGCAGGCTTTGTCTTCAGCATTGTTCAGTCCCTTCTTACAATGAGCTTCCATTTGTGAACTGCTGGGTTCTTCAGGGCATCGCCCCTGTACCTCCCCGTGCAGCCTTCTTGAGTCCACCCTTCCTCCACCAGCCTCGTGTCAATTTTAGCACAATTCCTGTTGCTCTGACAGGGACTCTTTTAAAACTGATGTCTTATTCTTAGCACCTCATCCTAGATCCTGTTCAGAGGTGCTGTAACAAGATAGTACTAGTTTATTTTAGTGCAATAAAAACTAAAATCCATGCATGTTTTCCATGTATGGGTGCACTTTATAAGGGAAAGCTATTAGAACAGAGATAGTATTTTTTCATTCTCAGAGGTTCTAAATCAATGTCAAATCAGTGGATTTGTCTCGTCTTCTAGGAATATGCTGTCTCAAGTGCTGAAACGAAAGCTCCCAGTTGTTTGCTTCAATGCTAAGGACTTTGTGAGAACAGTGCTGCAGTTTCTTGGTGATGCTGACAGCTGGAAGCATGGTGAGCTATAGTTCTTTTTGTCTCTAAAATTTAACTCTTTTTTTTTTAAACAATTGATTTATTTATTTGAAAGTCAGAATTACACGAGAGAGAGGGAGGTCTTCCATCCGCTGGTTCACTCCCCAACTGGCGGCAATGGTGGAGCTGCACTGATCCGAAGTCAGGAGCCAGGAGCCTCTTCCAGGTCTCCTGCACAGGTGCAGGAGTCCAGTGACTTAGGCCGTCTTCCACTGCTTTCCTAGGCCATAGCAGAGAGCTGGGTTGGAAGGGGAGCAGCTGGACAGGAAGCGGGGCCCATGTAGGATGGCGGCACTGCAGGCGGTGGCTTCACCTACTATGCTACAGCACTGGCCCCTAAAATTTAACTCTTTAGAGTGACTCCTAGGGACAAGAAGATGGCCAGGGCAGCTGTGTTGCCACTCACTCCCTGGGAGCTGGTCAGAGACGGATGTTCCCTGTCACATGAACTAGGCATGAAGAGGCACTGTCCCTCAGTGTGTCTGGTGTTTGAGTTTTTTTTTTTTTTTTTGACAGGCAGAGTGGACAGTGAGAGAGAGAGAGACAGAGAGAAAGGTCTTCCTTTTGCCGTTGGTTCACCCTCCAATGGCCGCCGCGGCCGGCGCGCTGCGGCCGGCGCACCGCGCTGATCCGATGGCAGGAGCCAGGAGCCAGGTGCTTTTCCTGGTCTCCCATGGGGTGCAGGGCCCAAGCACCTGGGCCATCCTCCACTGCACTCCCTGGCCACAGCAGAGGGCTGGCCTGGAAGAGGGGCAACCGGGACAGAATCCGGCGCCCCAACCGGGACTAGAACCCGGTGTGCCGGCGCCGCTAGGCGGAGGATTAGCCTATTGAGCCGCGGCGCCGGCCTTGGTGTTTGAGTTTTTACAAATTTATTCTCCTTTTGTGATTTAATGCAGAAGAATATTTATGCAGCATGGTCAGGTGGGATTTGTTGTTACTGCACATGGCTTATAAACTTTCTAAGAATTACACTATAGTCATTGTCATTAATCAAAACAACGTAGGACACATTTTTATCTTTTGTTTAGAATGGTAAAGGCAGATTTTGTTATTGTTTTTTTTGCTAAATGGACTGATAGGTAATAAAAAAATAGGAAAAATATGCATTGTAGAATCTAGGTGGTGGATATAAGTATTCACTGTGCAGTTCTTTTCAACTTGTGTATATGTTTGAAAAACCCTTTTTATATAGAAAATGTCTAGCATGTACAAAAGTGCCCTTATCAACTTGCAAGCAATCTTTTTCCGCTGTAACTCCCCACACTTCCACACCCCTGCCCCTTGGATATATTGTAACAAATCCAAACATCATGTGAATAATCTCTAAATAGTTCCATTGTATGGCAAAACACAAGGATTCCATTTTTAAGATGATACCATCATCTCTCCACAAACAACAATAATCTCTTGGTATTATTCGTTATCTGGCTTGTTACCTCTACAGTTGTCCTCTAAGTGTTTCTGTTTGCCACTTTTTTTTTTTTTTTAACATTTGTTTCAGTTAGGATCAAACAAGGCCCATAAACTTGGGATATGTGTGCTTACGTTTCTCACCCTCTTTGAGCTACCTGTTCTCTTTCCCTCCCTCTGTCTTGCTTCCTTGTGATTCCTTTGCTTTTGAAGAAACCAATTTGTTTTTCCTAGAGAACTTCACAGTCTGGATTTTTCAGGTCTCATCCTTCCCTCTGTCATTTAACTCATTCTCTCTGTCTTCTATTTCTTGCAAACCAGCTTTTAGATCCAGGGGCTTGATCAAATTCAGGTTAAATTTTGAGAGGAGAAGGATGACTTCAAAAGTGGCGTGTTGCACATTTCTCAGGAGGTGTGTGATGACTGGGCGTTTATCTTTTGTTGTGATGTTAGAAGTTATTGACTGCTGTTAACTGCGACGTGACGATAGTCACATCTTTTGCACGTCCTCCCTTTCTTAGAGTGCTTCGATGAGAAATCCCCCCTCAGCACTGGTTGCCATATGCAAAAGCTTTGACAAAAATGTGGCTTTTCACCCTCTGTTTATCTGTTTTCCAAATAAGGAATTGTTCCAAAGAGTCAGGAGAATGTGATCAAAAGGCTTCTTCAGGGCTGGTTTGCCTGTGGCAGAGCTTGTGAAGTGTCCGCCTACAGTGCTGCTATTCCCCCATGGACAATGTTTGAGTCCTAGCTGCTCTACTTCTGATCCACCTCCCTACTAATGTGCCTGGGAAAGCAGCAGAGAATGACCCAAGTGCTGGGGCCCCGCACCCATGTAAGACACTCGGACAGAGGTCGAAACTCCTGGCTTCGGCCCGGCCCAGCCCCAGCTGTTGCAGCCATCTGGGGAGTGAACCAGCAGGTGGAAGGTGTCTCTCTTCGTATTTCTCTTTCTCTCTCTCCCCCTTTCTATAACTCTGTCTTTCAAATAAGCCAAGTGAAATCTTTTTTAAAAAGGCTTTTTTTATGAACCAACAGACAGAAGCCCATTCTCTCTGTCTCTCCTCTCACTGTAACTCTACCTCTCAAATAAATAAATAAAAAATCTTTTTAAAAAAGGCCTTTTAATTTTAGTATCATGATGAACATACGGTTTTAAGCATATTTGATGGATTTTAATCCTTTGCACACATTCTTTGAGAAGTTAGGAGGTTAGTCTTTGTCATACAGGCCTTGTTGTCTGAGGCATCTTCCTTGACTTGGGGATGGTGAGATATTCCAAGGTCATCATCTGAACTTCTTTCCTAGACCAGGAATTAGCCATGTCTCTAAGGAGCCCTGTGGTTTTAGTGAAGATGGTGTTGAGGCCAGAACTGGATGACTGAATGTGTGCATTACTGCTAGGTTAGCCTTTGCTTCCAGGGTAGGAAGTCTGTAATTCTTTTTCTTTTTATTAATTTTTAGTCTGTATTTTTTAAATAAAATGTATCATGAGTTAAAGCTAATACCAGTAATTCAAATTCACGATGACTGTGGGGAGCAACTCGGACTAGACTAAGTTACTGGAATTAAGACTTATTCTATGCATCTGCTCTCCCACAATATGGCGCTGGGAGAGGAGAAAACAGCTTCTACACAGCTGCCTCCAGTTCAGCCAATAAACTGTAGGACTTGCTCCTGATTGGAGGAGAGCAGCGTACTCAGCGTGTGGGCAGCCGAGTTGGGATTGGCAGAGGAGGACTATAAAGGAGGAGAGAGACGGCATGCACGAGGGAACATCTAAGGGGAACACCTGTGCAGCCCCCGAGAGAGCCGGCCTGCGGTGTGCCGCTCCCCTGCGGAAGTGGGGAAAGTGGCCAGGGGGAACCGCCCTTCCACGGAGGTGGAAGGGACGGCAGCCAACCCGGGAAGAACCAGCAGCAAACCCGGGGAGGGCCGAGCAGACGAAAGAACAGCGCAGGGTCCTGTGTCGTTCCTCCATGAAGAGGGGGAGCGACATAATGGTGCCGTGACTCGGATATGAAGCCTAGGCAGGGCTTAGTGTCGTTCCTCCACGAAGAGGGGGAGCGACAGATGACGTGGTTTTTTCTTAATCTCGTTGATTTTAAATTTATATCTCCTTTTTAATGCACTGAAGAATTGTTTTTACTTGGAAGTGACTTTATACAGCATCTTTGTCTCGCATCTTCTTTCCTCGCTTGTCTAAAAGATGATATTGTACAATTTTAAAAATATAAAATGATTTCAGAGAGTCTGAAATAAAATCTTGTTTTCTCTCCTGGACTAGTGATTGTCTTTTTGTGTAGCTGCCCAGAGTTCTTTATTTCTCCTCCTTTGAAGTCTGGTTTGCGAGACTGTGCCTTGGTGTTGACTATTCAGGGTTAATTTTCCAAGATGTGTTCACCGCTTTTTAAAAGTAAAGGACCCCTTTAAAATAGTTTTGATTCAACTTTTTTAAAAGGGCAGCTTTATTTATATATAATTCAATACTGTAAAATTTACTTTTAAAGTACAGTTTAGTGGTTTTCAGGATAATCAGAGTGGTGTACCCATCACCACTATATAATTTCAGAACATTTTTTATCACCTTAGGAAATCTATACCCATTGGCAGTCTTTCTGTATTCCCTTTTTCCTCAGATTCTGGTAACTACTAGCCTTTCTTTCTGTGAAGATTTGCCTCTTCTGGCCATTTCATATGAACGGAATCATACAATATGTGATCTTTTATGACTGGCTTCTTTCACGTTGTGAAACCCATGTTGTAAAATGCAGCAGTACCTCATTTGTGTGTGTGTGTGTGTGTGACAGAATTAGACAGTGAGTGAGAGGGAGACAGAGAGAAAGGTCTTCCTTCCGTTGGTTTAACCCCAAATGGCTGCTATGGCCGGTGCGCTGCGCCGTTCTGAAGCCAGGAGCCAGGTGCTTCCTCCTGGTCTCCTATGTGGGTGCAGGGCCCAAGCACTTGGGCCATCCTCCACTGCCTTCCCGGGCCACAGCAGAGAGCTGGCCTGGAAGAAGAGCAGCGGGACTAGAACCCGGCACCCCAACCGAGTCTAGAACCCGGGGTGCTGGTGCTGCAGACGGAGGATTAGCCAAGTGAGCCGCAGTGCTGGCCTGCAGTACCTCATTCTTTTGTGTGTCTGAATAATAGGCACATTTTGTTTATCCATTTATCAGTTGATGCACATTTGGATTGTTTTTACTTTGAATTATTATGAACATTGGTGTACAAGTTTTTGTATGAACATATTTTCAAACTTCTTGGATATATACCTAGAGGTGGAATTACTAGTTCTTCTTTTCTTCTTAAGATTTATTTATTTATTTGAAAGTCAGAACTACAGAGAGAGAGAGAGAGAGGAAGAAAGAAACAGAGTGTGTGAGAAACCTTTCATCTGCTGGTTCACTCCCTAGATGGCTACAACTGTCAGGGCTGGGGCAGGTTGAAGCCAAGAACCAGGAGGTTCTTACGGGTCTCCCACATGAGTGGCAGGGACCCAAGAACTTGGAATATCTTCCACTGCTTCTCCCAGGCCATTAGCAGAGAGCTGGTTCAGAATTGAGTGGCAAGGATATGAACCAGTGCCCATATGGAATGCCAAAGGCAGGTAGCACCTTCACCCACTACACCACAATGCTGTCCCTGGAATTACTAGTTCTTGTGGTAACTCTATATTTAACTTTTTTATAAGATTTATTAATTTATTTGAAAGTCAGAGTTACACACAGAAGGAGAAGCAGAGAGAGAGAGAGAGAGAGAGAGAGAGAGAGAGGGAGAGGGAGGTCTTCCATCTGCTAATTCACTTCCCAATTGACTGCAACGGCCAGAGCTGGGCTGATCCGAAGCAAGGAGCTTCCTCCAGGTCTCCCATGTGGGTGCAGGGGCACAAGCCACCTGGGCCATCTTCCACTGCCTCCTCAGGCCACAGCAGAGCTGGATCAGAAGTAGAGCAGCCAGGACATGAACCGGCACCCATATGGGATGGCAGCACTGCAGGCAGCGGTTTTACCTGCTATGCCACAGCACTGGCCCCCTGTACTTAACTTTTTAAAAATATTTACTCATTTTTATTTATTTGAAAGACAGAGTCACACACACACACACACACACACACACACACTGGGGTGGGGGAAGGAATTTGATCACTCTTTAATCCACTGGTTCATTCCCCAGATGCCTGCAACAGCCAGGGCAGGGCATGCTGAAGCCAGGAGCCAGGAGCCAGAACCCCATCCTGATCTCCATGTGGGTGGCAGGGAGTCACCTAGTTGAGCCATCGTCTCCCGCCTCCCGGGAACATTATCTGGGAACTGGTTGGACATGGAGGAGATGTGACTGGAACAGGCACTCTGATGTGCAGTGTGGGCATCCCAAGTGACTCCTTAGCCTGCTGTGCTACAATGCCCACCCATGTATTTTAACTTGTTAACTGCCAAACTGATTTTTAAAACAGCCACAGCATTTTATATTCCTACCAGCAATGTATAGAATTTTAATTTTTCCATGTTCCTTGGCAATACTTTTATTTTCTTTTTAATCTAGTCAACGTAGTGGGAGTGAGTTGACGCTTCACTGTGGTTTTGGTTTGTGTCTCCCTACTAAGCAATGGCGTTGGATAACTTTCATGTGCTTGTTGGCCATTTGTATAGATCCTTTGGGGAAATATCTATATGAACATTTTCCCATTAACATTTTCGAAATGAAGTGTTGCAGTGGATTTTTTCTGAGAGGATTTGTTCTGAGAGGAGGAGCATGGTGGGGGCAAGAGGAGCGGAGTCACCACACAGACCCTGGGAGTTTTTAAAGTTTTTTAAAAAGTTTATTTGTATTTAAAGGGCAGATAAAGACAGAGAAAGAGGGAGGGAGAAAGAAAGAGAAAGCAATCTTCCATCTACTGGTTTACTCTCCTAAAGTCTTCCACACCCAGGACTGGGCCAGATAAAGCCAGGAGCCTGGAACTCCATTTGGGTTTCCCATGTGGGACCCAAGTAGTTGAGCTATCACCTGCTGCCCCTCAGGGTATGCATTAGCAAGAATCTGCATAGGTCTCCTACATGGGTACAGGAGTCCCAGCACTTGGGCCATCTTCTACTGCTTTCCAGGCCATAGCAGAAAGCTGGATCGGAAGAGGAGCAGCCGGGACTTGAACAGGTGCCCATATGGGATGCTGGCACTTCAGGCCAGGGCTTTAACCTGCTGCACCACAGTGCCGGCCCCTCTGTGTTTTCTTTTGTTGCTATCAAGTATAAGAAACCATTGTTTAATCCAAGCTCACAAAGATTTACTCTTTGCTTTTTCATTTTTCCAAGATTGTTATCGTTTTAACTCTCATATTTAGGTTTATGATGTTTGAATTCATTTTTGCGTGTGGAAGAGGTAGAGGGTCTAATTAGTTTCCTGTGGCTGCTGTACCAATTACCACAAACTGACTGTTTAGAACAATAGGCATTTGCTCTCCCAGTTCTGGAGGCTGGTGTTTGAGGTGGCTGTTCCTCTGGAGTGGTGGGGGCAGTTCATTGCATGACTCTCTCAGCTTCTGGTGGTAACCTGTGATCTCTGCCGCTTCTTGGCTTGCACTGCAACCTCTGCCGTGTCCCTCTGTGTATCGGTTTGAGTTTTCTCATTTCTTTTTCTTATAAACAACACTTATCCTTGAATTTAGGTCCCACTCTCATTCAAGATGACCTATCAGGATTCTTACCATCATGACATCTGCAGAGAACGTCACATTCTGAAGTTCCAGGTGGACTTCAGAAAGTCTTTGGACAATGCATAGATTTCAAAACATTTTTATACCAAAATAAACTTACCTTTAAAAAAAAAAAAAAAGGCAGGGTGATGAGAGAGAGGAAGAGACAGAGGGTGTCTTCTATCCACTGGTTCACTCCCTGAATGACCACAACAGCTGGGGCTGGAAAACTCCATTCTGTTCTGCCACACCAACTAGTGGCAAGGAGCCAAATGCTTGGGCTATCTTCCAATGCCTTCCTGGGTGCATTAATAGGAAGCTGGGTTGGAAGCTGTGTAGCCAGGATTCTCACTCTATTATGGGATGCTGGCATCACAAGCAGTGTTTTAACTCATTTTGCCACATGCTGGTCTCAAAATAAACTTACCTTTTTTTAAAAAAAACATTTTTTTAAGATACATTTTATTTATTTGAAAGGCAACAGAGAGAAACAGAGATCTTCCGTCCACTGGTTCACTCTCCAAATGACCACAATGGCCAGGGCTGGGCCAGGCCAAAGCCAGGAGTCCAGAACTGCACCCGGGTCTCCCACATGGGTGCAGGGGCCCAAGCTCTGAGGCCATCTACTGCTTTCCAGGCCAGCAGCAGGGAACTGGATTGGAAGAGGAGCAGCCGGGTCTCGTGTGGTGCCCCAGATGTATGCTTAATCTGTTGCCACAGTGCCAGCCCCGAGTGGTATAACATTCTTAACCATTAGCTTGACAAAGGCATAAAGCAAAGTTTTACAAGACTGTATTTGCAGCAGTGTTGATACACACAGACATTTCTTTCTTCTCTTTCTTTTTGTATTTTTTCTTTCTTTTAAAATGTTGGCTCCCACATGTAAGAGAGAACATGCGGCACTGGTCTTCCTGCATCTGGTTTATGTCACTCAACGTGATGTGCTTCAGTTGCACTGGTTTTGATGCAAATGGTAGACTTTCATTCATTTTTTTATGACTGAGTAATATTCCGTAGCATGTGTGTACCACATTTTCTTTATCCATTCGTCCAATCATGGACACCTGGGTTGACTCCAAGTGTTGGCTGCTGTAAACATGTGGTGCAATGTGCTCGTGTCTTGTGTGTGTACACCCAGAAGTGGGACTGCTGGATCCCATGGCAAGTCTACTTCTAGCTTTTTAAGAAATCTCCACACTATTTTCCACAGTGGCTGCACTACCCTCCTTTGCCCCCAACAGTGTGTGAGCGTTCCCCTTTCTCCACATCCTCACCAGCATTTGTTACCTCTGTCTTTTGGATGTTAGTTATTCTGACAGGAATGAGGTGATATTTCATTGTGGTTTTGATTTGCATTTCCCTGATGGCTAGTGATGTTGAACATTTTTTCGTGTATTTGTTGACCATTTGCATTTCTTCTTTTGAGAACTGTCTATTATAAAGTCCTTTGTCCATTTCTTAACTGGATTGGTTGTTTTTTTGTTGTTGAGTTTTTAAGTTGCTGATATATTCTGGATATTAATCCTTTGTCAGATAGGTAACTTGCAAACATTTTTCCCATTCTGTTGTATGTCTCATCACTTTATTGATTCTTTTGCTATGCAGAAGCTTTTGAGTTTTATATAATCCCATTTATTTAGTTTTGCTTTTGTTGGTGTGTGTGTTTTAATAGGCAATTTAAAGTCACTTGAATTATAGTGTTTAATATAGTGCTAGTTTAATTTTTTGTTGAATTCCTATTTCACATGTAGTATCTTTTTTGTGTTTCAGATTTATCACTTTTTACCTAGAATCTGTTTTCATTTTTTAAATAAATATTTATTTATTTGAAAAGCACAGTAACACAGAGAGAGAATGACAGGCAGAGATCTTCCATCTGTGGTTCATTTCCCAAATATCCACAAGAGCCAGGACTGGGTCAGGCTGAAGCCAGGAGCCAGGAACTCCGATTGGGCTCCCTCATGGGTGGCAGGAACCCAAACACTTGTGCTATCGTCTGCTGCCTCCACCACTAACAGCAGGCTGGATTGGAAGTGAAGGCAGGACTCGATTTCAGGCGCGACAGGGTGTGGGTACCTCAAGTGGCAGCTTAGCCACTGTGTCACAGTGCCTGCTCCTTCATTTTGAGTTTTTGAAACGTCCTCTTTTCCATCTTATTTTTTACTCAAGGCATAACTTACTATATTAATTTGCTTTTGTGTTTAGCCAGTGTAGTTTTTTTTATTTTTGTAATTTTTTTCTTTTATTTTCCTTTCTGACTATGACATTTCTTTATACAGTTTTTTATTCTGTCATTAATTGCTAAATATTTCTAATTTTAAAAAATATTTATTTTATTTGAAAGGTAGAGTTAGAGAGAAGGAGAGAGAAAGAGAGAGAGTGAGCATTTCAATTCACTGGGTCACTTCCCAAATGGCCACAATGGCCAGGGCTGGGCCAGGCTGAAGCTAGGAACCAGGAGCTTCATCTGGGTCTTCCATGTGGGAGGCAAGGCCGCAGGTATTTAGGCCATTTCCCCGCTGTTTTCCCAGGCACATTAGCAGGGATCTGGATCTGAAGTGGAGCAGCTGGAACTTGAATTGGTACCAACATGGAATGCCAGTGTCGCAGGCAGTGGCATAACCCATTGCACCACAACACTGGCCTCATAAATATTTCTAGTGCTGATTTATTTATTTTCATAGCTCCCATCATTTTCTTAGTTTTTCATCTGAACATTAAGAATCTTGTTCCAATAGGAGCAGCAATACTTGTTTTCCTTGGGATGATTCAATGACCTTTTTTCTTTATAGTTGCTGATTTTGTAGGCCTTGACCCCAGAATTGCTGCATGGCTTATAGATCCCAGAGATGCCACACTATCTTTTGAACATTTAGTGGCAAAATACCTCGAAAAATCCACCACAGTTAAAGTGAGCAGCACTTACGGAAATGCCTCAAGAAATATTGTGGTGAGTTGTTTAGGTTAGGTTTTATCAACCTTAATGTAATCCTAATCTTTTTCTAGAAAGTTCTACTTCACAGATGGTCTAATAGTAAAACAGTGCCAACATTAATTTTCACTTATTCTTCCCCATTTTTTTAAAAGGATTTATTTATTTGAAAGGCAGACTGACGGAGAGAGGAAGAGAGAGAATCTTCCATCTGTTTGTTCACTGCCCAGATGACCACAATGGCCCAGGGGCTGGGTTAGGCTAAGCAGAGTCAGGAAGTGCATTCAGATCTCCCATGTGGGTTGCAGGGGCCCAGGTACTTGGAACTCCTGCTACTTTCCCAGGCACATTAACAGGGAGCGGGACCAGAACTTGAACTGGTGCTCAGATATTGGATGCCGCTGTCACAGGCGACTCCATCCACTAACTCCACAATGCCGGCCCCATAAAGTAACATCCTTTAATTGCATATCCCTCAAACTTTTTTGAGTATCTTTGTATTACTCAGTGTGTAGAATGAAGAGAAAACGTGGGTTGGGAGAAAGTGTAGGGAAATGGCGGCATGCTCTCACACAGGAGTATTCTGCACAGACTGGGAGACATCTGTGCAAGGTGCCAGTATGTGACCACTCACACCACAACTGCCATCAGAAGCTTCGTGGGATTTCTCTGGGGGATGATCTGGTGAACTGAGTCTGTTTCTAGACTGAGAGGAACATTGCCACCAAATTTACCTAATTTTTAATACTTTTGCTCTTTTAAAGAATCAGAACGTACATATGAATCTAAGGATACTCCACAGGCTTATGATGACGCTTTGCTCCAAGTTGAAGGCAAGATGTTCTACTGTAACTTTTGTTTGTGGGAGAGCTGTCCTTTCACTGGCACCTACACAGGGAGCAAGGCTGCAGGGTCTGTGAGTGTGGAACAAACACCAAGTTCTAAGGCCACTTGGCAAAGAGGACTGTATAGGTTGAAAACAATCATTTTCCAATGCCCCCCCCCCCATAGTTGGAATGTTTCCTTTTTTTTTTTTTTTTTTTTTTTTGACAGGCAGAGTGGACAGTGAGAGAGACAGAGAGAATGGTCTTCCTTTTTGCCGTTGGTTCACCCTCCAATGGCTGCCGCGGCCGGCGTACCGCGCCGATCCGATGGCAGGAGCCAGGTACTTATCCTGGTCTCCCATGGGGTGCAGGGCCCAAGCACTTGGGCCATCCTCCACTGCACTCCCTGGCCACAGCAGAGAGCTGGCCTGGAAGAGGGGCAACCGGGACAGAATCCAGTGCCCCGACCGGGACTAGAACCCGGTGTGCCGGTGCCGCAAGGTGGAGGATTAGCCTAGTGAGCCGCGGCGCCGGCAGTTGGAATGTTTCTAATGCAATAGTTCACATAAAAGCTGAGATTTATTTTGGTCGATAGTGAAATGAACACTACTCTGTCGACCAGAGCCTCCCTGGGAAGCAGATGGCCTTCGGAAGAAACACCGAGAAGAACTGAGTGAAGGGACTGTGTTCGAGGGAGGGCAGGGTGACAGGAACCAGCAAAGCAGAATTCCCCAGGGACAGGCGAGAGCTGGGGGCTTTTCCCCCCCTGGGCTCCAAGGCAGGCTGTTGTCTGCTCTCTCTCTCTCCTGATGCCCACTTGACAGCAGGGTGGGCACCAGGTTGTGACCTGAGGGGTCCACCTGAGGAGAGGGCAGGTAGAGAAGTCAGGGCAGGGGTGAGAGCTGAGGCCCAGGGTGCTCCCTGGCGGGAGCATGAAAGAGTAAAAGAAGGTGGAAATTCTGACGCAGAGCCTGGGGGATGGTCAAGAAGTGGAGGGAGCCATGCTCCTTGCTCCTTGAGCAGGTGGCCTAGCACTCCCCACAGCCCCAGTTGGTCGGTGCGAAATCATATAAATCAAGATACATTTTTGGGAATTCAACAACTGTATTTTGAAATAGAAATGGAAGACTGAAAGTACATAGCAAAAATGCTTAAGTCAACCTTAAAAATAGAAAGAGTAAAGAAAATTGGGGATGGGGCTTGGGCTATCAGATATTTCCAAATATCTCTACCAAGTGTAATAATAAAATAGGATACTTAAAGGAAATGGGAGTTTTTGAGGAAGAATAGGAAGAAGGGTGATGATGCTGGATAGGAAATCAACCATGTCCATAGCAGGAGCTGTCTTTTTTTTTTTTTTTTTTTTTTGACAGGCAGAGTGGACAGTGAGAGAGAGACAGAGAGAGAAAGGTCTTCCTTTTGCCGTTGGTTCACCCTCCAATGGCCGCCGCTGCAGCCGGCGCACCGTGCTGATCCGATGGCAGGAGCCAGGATCCAGGTGCTTTTCCTGGTCTCCCATGGGGTGCAGGGCCCAAGCACCTGGGCCATCCTCCACTGCACTCCCTGGCCATAGCAGAGAGCTGGCCTGGAAGAGGGGCAACCGGGACAGAATCCGGCGCCCCAACCGGGAGCTGTCTTAATTGTAGTTTAACAGAATTAAGAAGGCTTTTCAACAATACAAATGCAAATAATTTACAGTAACACTAGGTAGGTGTTTGGCGTAGCTATCAAGATGCCAGTTAAGACAGACCCTCTGACACTGCAGTGCCTGGGTTTGGTTCTCAGCTCTGGCTCCTGATTCCAGTTTCCTATTAATGCAGACTTCGGAGTCAGCGGATGATGGCGCAAATGATTGGGTTCCTGTCACCCATATGGGAGATCAGGATTGAGTTCCTGGCTCCCAGATTCTGTCTGGCCCAGCTCCAGTCAATCCATATAATTAGGGAGTGAATCAGCACTCCCCAGTTGGAAGGAAGCTGTTTATGAAATAAAAGTATTAGTAAAGCATATTGATATTATTTATTCCTATGAAACAGGCTTATAGTTTATGGCAGCTATTTTGGACTTTGGAGCTTCCTCTGATACCAATTTTGGCAGGTAAGTCATAAAGGCAGTCATTTTTCTAAAAAAACTCTTTATGTTGTTAGGAATAACTGTTTCTCTCTAACGTATTTAGAAGTTGGTAATATATCTCATGGGTTCTGAAGAGGTAGCAAAACCTTTAATTCCCTTTCAACAGTGAGAGGGGTTGGGCTGTATCACCTTTGGTCCAGAGGACTGGCAGGTTCTGACATTTCAGTCTTGTGGGGTCCCAGGAGCAGGAGGTCCTGATGGGTGGTCTGCCTGTTAGTGGCTCTCTGCTCTGGTCTTGCTGTCCTTGTAACCCTCCTCCCTTGGTCTGGCAGAGTCTGAGAAGCTCCCTGAAAGCACCCTGCAGGGCTCTCTCTGCCTTTGCCTCTGACCATGTTCTCTGGTGCACAGGAGAACAGAACCTTGTCCAGTGGCCACTGAGTCTGTGAAGGGCCCGGCTGGGGCTGGCTGGTGCAGCTCATGTCCACTCTCAGGACTTCCGTTTTCCCGTCTCGAGGGGGTCCTGAGGGCCCTCTAGAAGCCGGCGCGCAGCAGGTGCTGAGGGAAGGACAGTGTGTTATCATCGTGCTTCTCAGGGAGGAAGGCAGTTCTGTCTTTACTACAGGGTTCGTGAATGCAATGAAAATAGGATCTGGTTTGGATTTTAAATTGCAGTGATGGAAAGACACAGCGTTCAGGTGAACAAAGAAGAAATGGAGAGGACATCAGCGCTTCTTGGGGTAAGGTATTTTTTCAGACTGCCTATATGGCAATTGTTCCCATGACAGGGCTGGGCAGATTTCACTTTTCTTCCCCAGACTGATGTTGGCATTGTTCTTTTTCTGGGGTTCCTGGAGGGGAAGACTAGACACTGAAAGGATTATCTAGCTAGCCATGAGACAGAGAGACAGAGACAGACCAACTGACAGAGATCCCATCCACTGGTTCACTCCCCAGATGTCCACAGCCAGACTGCAGCCAAAGCCAGCAACTCATTCTAGGTCTCCCACATGGGCAGCAGGGATCCAATTACTTGATGAATCACCACCACCTCCTAGGGTCTGCCTTAGCAGGAAGCTGGTTGTGAGCTGGGACCGTGTGTCAAACCCAGGTGCTCTGATATGAGACTCCAGTGTTTTAACCACTCGGGTAAATGCCTCCCCCCTAGCAGATTTAGCATCTAATTCATGTGTGTGTGTGTCTGTGTGAGTGTGTGTCTGTATGTGTGAGTGTGTCTGTGTGAGTGTATGTCTGTGTGAGTGTGTATGAGTATATGTGTGTGTGTGTCTGTGTATATGTGTGTATGTGGGTGTGTGTGTATGTGGGTATGTGTGTGTGTTTGTGTGTGTGTCTGTGTGTGAGTTTGTGTATGTGTGTGAGTGTGTTTGTGAGAGTGTATATGTGTGTATGTGTGTGTTTGTGAGAGTGTGTGTATGTGTGTGTGAGTGTGTCTGTGTGAGTATGTGTGTGTGCCTGTGTGTGTATGTCTGAGTGTGTGTGTCTGTGTGTGCCTATGTGTGTGTGTCTCTGTATGTGAGTGTGTGTGAGTGTATGTGTGTGTATATATATGTGTATGTGTGAGTGTGTGTGTGAGTGTGAATGTGTGTGAGTGTATGTGTGTCTCTGTGTGTATGTGAGTGTGTGAGTGTGTGTGTGTCTCTGTATGTGTGTGAGTGTGTGCCTGTGTGTGAGAGTGTGTGTGAGTGTGGGTATGTGTGTGTCTCTGTGTGTATGTGTGTCTGTGTATATGTGAGCCTGTGTGTGTGTGTGTGAGTGATGGCAGCGGGGTGGGGGGACTTCTTTAATGGATCCTCGGGGTTCTTCTCAAAAGTTAGATTTTTCTTTCAAGGACATTGCCCCCTATAGTTTGGCAAAGAGATCCTTGGGTTTTTCGAAAAATAAAAATATAGAGAAATGCATAAAGTTGCATGAAGAAAACACATGAAACTGTTCCACGTAAAATGTCTTGAAGGAGGCTCTGATAGAACCCTCACCTAGGCCAAAGCATAGAGGTTCCAGGAGCTCTGTTTGTTCTTCTATCAGAATTCCCTTCCTGCTGCCTAAACGTCATCTTGACTTCTGTAGTAGTTCGTTGTTGCTCTTACTTATTCTACTTTAGTGCCTGAACAGCATAGATTAGCTTTGCTTCTTGAACTGTAAGTAAATCAGTAATCTGTGCATGACCTTCTTCACTCAGCTTTCTGCATCCAGCCTTAGCCGTGACACTGTGTCACTCAGTGCTGTAGACTGTGCCGCGCTGGTGTCTCTGCCCCACTGTTGACAGGCCTCTGGTTGTGTCCAGGTTGGGTTCATCGCAAATCATATCACAGCCCTGCACCTCTGCCCTGGGACCTGAGACGTTGAGGGATGGCTGGGGCGCCAGGCACTGCTGTTCAGCCATGTTATGTAGGCAGCATTGCTTCCAGAGCTGAAGTCCCACTGTGCACGGGGGGTGGGTTCTGTCTGTGTGCCTGTCTGCTGCACCTGGCTGTCCCAGACCTTCATGTGGAAGCCACTGTGGTAAGAATGTGTGCTGTTTCCTTAAGGGTTTCCATTTTCCTGATTACTAATATCACCATTGGCTAGCAAATTTCTTCTTTTGTAAAAGATCTATTTGTTCAAGTCTTTTATGTATTTTTTTATTTTCCCTAATTGATTTATAGGACTTCTTGATATATTCTGGATGCTAGCTTGTCACCACCCCTCTGTCTCGTTTGGGATGGTGTTGGATCACTTTCCAGTCCTGACATTTCTGGGGAATTCTCTCTCTCTCCCTCCCTCTGCTGTCTTCTTGCTTTTCCTTTTGTTTTATTCCTTTAGTTTAGTTTAGTTTAGTTTTTGTACAGGCAGAGTTAGACAGTGAGAGAGAGACAGACATAGAAGGATCTTCCTTCCGTTGGTTCACCCCCGCAAATGGCCGCTACAGCTGGCGTGCTGCATCGATCCGAAGCCAGGAGCCAGGTGCTTCTCCTGGTCTCCCATGCGGGTGCAGGGCCCAAAGACTTGGGCCATCCTCCACTGCCTTCCCGGGCCACAGCAGAGAGCTGGACTGGAAGAGGAGCAACCGGGACAGAATCTGGTGCCCCAACCGGGACTAGAACCTGGGGTGCCGGCGCTGCAGGCTGAGGATTAGCCAAGTGAGCCGCAGCGCCGGCCTATTCCTTTAGCTTTGAGAAGCATAGTTCAATGAGTCTTTAGGTATCCACCATAAGTCAAAATAGATCTTTTTAAAATCCATTTTAGTTAATTGTAGATTATTGTTTACTCCATTAAAACCTTTTATTGCCAACTGTTTGATGAATAAATTAATTTGAAATGATAAAAGCTACTAATGAGGTTAATTGTATTTTTCATATTATTAGGCTCGTCTGAAAGAATTGGAGCAAGAAGCCCATTTTGTTGCAGGAGAAAGGTTTCTCATAACGAGTAACAACCAGCTGCGGGAGGTAAAGTTAGATGTCACCACCTTGGGAAAATATAATTCTTTGTTTGAAAAAAAAAGATTCATTTACTTTTTTATTTGATAGGAAGAGTTATAGAGACAGGGAGAGGGAGGGAGATAGAGAGAGAGAGAGAGAGAGAGAGAGAGAGATGTCCTACCCTCTAATTCACTAACCAAATGGCTGTACTGGCCAGGGCTGAGTCAGGCCGAAGTCAGAAGCATGGAACACCATCCAAGTCTCCCATGTTGGTGCAGGGACCCAAGTGTTTGGGGCATCTTCCTCTGCTTAGCCAGGTGCTTTAGCAGGGAGCTGGATCGGAAGTAGAGCAGCCAAGACTCAAACAGGCGCTCATAGGGGAAGCTGGTGTTGCAGGTGGCAGCTTGACTCACTGCACTGCCCCTGGAAAAATACAGTTCTTACTTAGGAGGCAAAGGAGATTTATTCTGAATTTACAAGTATTATTTCATGTAGTTTATCTGAAAATGTATAAGCTGTTCATGTTCTCTCACTGTTTGCAAACGTGTTTAAATTCTTTTTTTTTTTTTTAAAGATTTATTTTAGGGCCGGCGCCATGGCTCACTAGGCTAATCCTCTGCCTGCGGCACTGGTACTACAGGTTCTAGTCCCAGTTGGGGTGCCAGTTCTGTCCTGGCTGCTCCTCTTCCAGTCCAGCTCTCTGCTGTGGCCCGGGAAGGCAGTGGAGGATGGCCCAAGTGCTTGGGCCCTGCACCCACATGGAGACCAGGAGAAGAACCTGGCTCCTGGCTTTGGATCGATGCAGCGCACCAGCTGTAGTGGCCATTTGGGGGGTGAACCAATGGAAGGAAGACCTTTCTCTCTGTCTGTCTCTCTCTCACTGTCTAACTCTGCCTGTCAAAAAAATTTATTTTATTTATTTGAAAGACAGTGTTACAGAGAGAGGTAGACACAGAGAGAGAGGTCTTCCATCCACTGGTTCACTCCCCAGATGGCCGTAATGTCCCGGAGCTGCTCAGATCCGAAGCCAGGAGCCAGGAGCTTCCTCCAGGTCTCCCACGTGGGTGCAGGGGCCCAAGGACTTGGGCCATCTTCTACTGCTATCCCAGGCCATAGCAGAGAGCTGGATCGGAAGAGGAGCAGCCGGGACTACAACTGGTGCCCATATGGGATGTTGGTGCTTCAGGCCAGGGCTTTAACCCGCTGTGCCCCAGCGCCAGCCCCAGTGTTTAAATTCTTAATTCAAAGCCTTTAGGTTTGGGCTGGTGTCTTGGCACAGTAGATTAAGCCGTTCGACACCAACATCCCATATGAGCACCAGTTAGAGTTCCGGCTTCTCCACTTCTGATGCAGCTTCCTGCTAGTGTTCCTAGGAAGGCAGTAGAAAATGGCCCAAGAACTTGGGTCCCTGCCACCCACGTGGGAGATGGAGCCCAGTCCCAGCTATTGTGGCATTTAGGAGGTGAACCAGAGGATAGAATATTTGTCTCTCTCTCTCCCTCTCTCTCTGTAACTCTGCCTTTAAACTAAATGCATATTTTTTTTTATTTGACAGGTAGAGATATAGAGACAGAGAGAAAGGTCTTCCTTCCGTTGGTTCACCCCCCAAATGGCCGCTATGGCCGGCTCTGCGCTGATCCAAAGCAAGGAGCCAGGTGCTTCTTCCTGGTCTCCCACATGGGTGCAGGGGCCCAAGCACTTGAGCCGTCTTCTACTACCTTCCCGGGCCACAGCAGAGAGCTGGACTGGAGGAGAAGCAACCGGGACTAGAACCCGGCGCCCATAAGGGATGCCAGCACCACAGACGGAGGATTAGCCAAGTGAGCCACGGCGCCAGCCCCCCTAAATACATAATTTTTAAAAATATTTATTTATTTATTTGAAAGAGCCATACAGAGGAGAGGCAGAGAGAGAGAGAGAGGTCTTCTATCCGCTGGTTCACTCCCCAATTGGCCGCAACGGCCAGAGCTGCGCCCATCTGAAGCCAGGAGCCTCCTCCAGATCTCCAACACGGGTGCAGGAGCCCCAAAGACTTGGGCCATCCTATACTTCTTTCCCAGGCCATAGCAGAGAGCCAGATCAGAAGTGGAGCAGCCGGGACTCAAACCAGCACCCACGTGAGATGCCAGCACTGCAGGCAGTAGCCCCACCCCGCTATGCCACAGCGCTGGCCCCAAGACATAATTTAAAAAAAAAAAAAAGCCTTTTAGAAGCCACTAAATCAGAATTTAAGCATTTTGTAACATCTGTGTCTGGTGTCTTCTGTGCTGATGGTTTTAACTCTAACAATAATGTTGCTTCTTTCCAATCTGGAACTCTCAACACTTGAAAATGGCTTTTCCTGAAGATCCTCTTTGACAAGTTAAAGCTACACTTGCTGAGTCAAAGGCGTCTCCCCAAAACAGGGCTGCAGAAATACCCATCCACGTCAGAAGCTGTGGTAAGCTTTAGAAATCTTCTTTTATTTTTATTTTTTTTAAATTTTAAAAAAATTTATTTGAAAGGGTTACAAAAAGATGTAGAGCCAGAAATAGAGCGAGGTCTTCCATCCACTGGTTCACTCCCCAAATGGCCACAACAGCCAGAGCTGAGCTGATCTGAAGCCAGGAGCCAGGAGCTTCTTCTGGGTCTCCCACACAGGTGCAGGGGCCCAAGGACTTGGGATATCCTCCATTGCTATCCCAGGCCATAGCAGAGAGCTGGATAGGAAGAGGAATAGCTGGGACAAGAACCAGCACCCATATGGGATTCTGGCGCTGCAGGTTGGGGCTTTAACCCGCTGCGCCACAATGCTGGTCCCATCTTTTCTTTCTTTGAAATGATAGCCCATCTATGACTCACCTCAGACCCACTGGAGCTCCCTTAGAGGGCAGCCCCTCAGGCTCCTCCCCAAGATTGCGCTCCCAGCAGTGGACTAAGGAGAAAGTGGCCAGCAGTAAGTACATTTTTTCAGAAGCAACAGATCGGCTTGACTTCCTGCAAAAGATAATTTGGTGGGGTTTTGTTCTTAAAACCAAATTTCTGACATCCCAATCCCACTCGCTTTGTTTCATCTCCCGAAAGAGACTGAGAATGGGAAAGGTCATCAGTCCTCTTTTCTCTCCCAGATTTGTTGCAGAGAATTAGCTGCCCCTCTCTTGAGAGGAATATACTTTTAAACTGACAAAGAGTACTGAGAGTCGACTCATAGAATGACAAATGCCCTAAACAGCACCCTGGCCTCAGAATCAGCTCTTAAGGCATTCAGATCTGGCTAAAAAGCCCATGAGAGTATCTCAGGCATGGAAAGCCGAGACACTGTGGCAAAAAAATGGCCTACGTGAAAGATCTCTGTAAGTGGAAAGAAGGGGCCATCAAAGAAGGAGGTACCTTTCTCTGAAGGGAGGAGAGAACTTCCACTTTGACTATGGCCCTGTCTAAATAAAGTCAGAGTTTGTGAACATAAGAGGCTTCCATAGCCTTGGCAGCTCATGACAAAAGCCTTGGGAGATCACTGACAGCATAAATAAGAGTGCCAATTGTTAAATCAACAACAGGATTCACTGTGTACTTGCTCCCCATGCAGGACCTCTGTCCTTAATGTGTTGTACTATGAGAATTAACGGTAAAACTAATCTTCAAACAGTTCTTTATACTTTGTATGACTGTGTGGGTGCAAACTGTTGAATTCTTTACTGGTACAGAGTTGATCTTCTTTATATAAAGATAATTTAAAATGAATCTTAATGAAGAATGGGATGGGAGAGGGAGTAGTGTGGGGAGCAACTCGGACTAGACTAAGTTACTGGAATTAAGACTTATTCTATGCATCTGCTCTCCCACAATATGGCGCTGAGAAGGGAGTAACAACTTCTACGTAGCTGCCTCTCGCCAATTTGATTGACTGAGCTGCAGGAGCTGATCTTGCTCCTGATTGGAGGAGAGCAGCGTACTCGGAGTGTGGGTAGCAGAGTTGGGATTGGTGGAAGAGGACTATAAAGGAGGAGAGAGACAACATGCACCAGGAACATCTATCTGAAGGAACACCTGTGCAGCCCCCGAGAGAGCCGGCCTGCGGTGTGCCGCTCCCCCGCGGAAGTGGGGAAAGTGGCTAGGGGGAACCGCCCTTCCACGGAGGTGGAAGGGTCGGTAGCCAACCCGGGAAGGACCAGCAGCAAACCCGGGGAGGGCCGAGCAGACAAAAGAACAGCGCAGGGTCCTATGTCGTTCCTCCACGAAGACGGGGAGTGACATAATGGTGCCGTGACTCGGATATGAAGCCTAGGCAGGGTCTAGTGTCGTTCCTCCATGAAGAGGGGGAGCGACAGAGTAGGAGATGGGATGTTTTGTGGGTGGGAGGGTGGTTATGGGGGGAAGAACCGCTATAATCCAAAAGTTGTACTTTTGAAATTTATACTTATTAAATAGAAGCTTTCTATAAAAAGTACTGAGAGTCGACTCTGCTAGGACGGCAGAGTATGAATAGACATCCAGAGGTCAGCAGATGCTTGTCCTGGAAGGACGCAGTGTGGGAGAGCGGTGAGTGCATTCACAGAGAACCAGCTCGGAGCTGCAGACGGTGCTCCCCGTGCTCGCCAGCTCTGGTCGGCAGCAGAAGACGTTTCCTTCGGAGAGGACTTCTCTGGCCGGACTGCCCCCCAGCACCCAGCACAGTCTTCTTGCTCCTCTCAGCCCTGTTGGGACCTTGGATTCAGGACCTCGTGAAGCCCGGTGCTCTGAGACTGTGCCCACACTGGGTAATAATGGCCTCCTGTAGAGGTAACCCAGAATTCCCGTCTTTCAGATCCTGTTCTTCTTCACAATGGAGAAGGGCCCCATCCTCCTCCCATGTCCGTGGGAGCCAGTGTGGAGTACGGAGTGAGAGCAGGGCCAGTGGATCAGCCACCATGCCTACTTGCACGGTTCGGGCCACGTTTGTTGGCAGCTATGTGCCTCAGTGTTCTGATCTGTAAGAGGAAGATGATGACAAGAGTACTTTCCCAGCTGAGTATGTCTGTGTGTCCAGCAGGACTTAGGAGGACGGTGCCAGACACAAGTTCTCCGTCATCCACCAAACATGGCCTGTACCATGGGCTGCGCCAGCCACACGCCTGGGACTCATCTCTGCCTTTCTTCCCATCTCACCCATAGCAAGCCTCATGGTCTCTGCCTACAAAGCATGTCCTGAACCTGCCCCCTCTGTCCCCTCTCGTCCCTCTGTCCCCTCTCCTTTGAGTACTCCAAACCAGGCTTCCACTCCTCCCCACCTGCTGGCCATTCCTCAGCTCTAGGCAGAGCTTGCTTTTAAAACACTGGAGATCGTGTTGCTCCCCTGACTGGAATCTCCAGTGGTTCCCATCGCACTTAGTCGGCCCCAAGCCTGTGAATGCAACCCTTGGCCCTGGGTCTGGCCCTGTCGCTCCCCTGTGAGCATGCCGGCTGCACACAGCTTTCTACACAGGCTCATTCCTAGGTCCCTGGACTGGCCACAGGTTTACCCCAGTGGCCTGATTGTCAGCTTGCATGTTGTCTTCAGGAGACCTTTCCTGGAGGCCCCTGTTGAGCCCCCCTTGAGGCCCCCGTTGCTCCCTATGTCTTCACCTTGATTTATTTTTACACATTATCTATAATTGTCCTAGGTATTAGTTTGCTTATTTCACTAGAATGTAGGTTGCACAGACCAAAGCCCTCACTTTGTTTGGAAAACCAAAATGTCCTAAAATCAGCCTCTCGTGGGGCTGAACTGAATGTCTGCTCATGGAGCCCCGAGACAGCAAGTGGCTGCTGGGAGCTAAGCCCCTTCCTGCTGGAGAGACTCAGGCCTGCGTCTCCTCACTCGCAGAGCACATGTGGGAAGTGAGCCCCGAAGCTCCAGCAGCCATTGTGCAAGGCCCCGTCTGTGCCTGCTCTCTGGGAGCCCCAGTCGGCTCATTTTCCGTCCTGGCGCCATCGGCACTGCTGCCCTTCCCTCGGCAGCAGCCTTGCTTCCCGCCAGCTTGCGGTGTGAGAACTCTCCTGGTTCTGAGTTACCTGTAAGCAGAGTTAGACAGTGATTTTAACAGGGAGACTCGTCTTTTTTCTACAGAGACACGATTGACACCGTGTTAGCCTTACTCTCTTATTTAATGAGTAAGTCATGCTTACTCATTCTGTGCATTTTTAAAAAAAATTAACTTTTAGTAGGTAACACATGCCCATGGTTCCAAACTGAAAACTAAGCTCCTGCCCACTGCTTCCCTCCCTCTGTCTCCTTCATCCTTCCCAGTGCCTGCCCCTTTCTCCCATTGTGTTCTTGGAGCCAATGACAGGGCTTCACACAGGATTGTTACTGCCCAGCTCCCCCTACTGAGTTAGGTTTTAGTTCTAGCAGGGTGTGGACTTTGTCCAGAGGACATTCCCAGTGCTCGAAACAATGCACGGGCAGAGTTGCTCAGTAAATCTCAAAGGAATTCCTCAGGTTGTGATAAGTACTCTTTTTCTCATTATTTAATTCCACACAGTTTCTTATTTCCATTAGAATTCTTTGACTCCTGAGTTGTGTGGAAGTGTCCTAAAGTTTCCAAATGTGTGGGGGCTTCCCCGGTGTCTTTCATTATTGATTTCTACGTTCAATGTACTGGAGGCTGAGAACGTGATCCATGTGACTTCAGTTCTCTGGCAGCACCAGTGTTCACTGACACCCCACAGGGGCATAGAGCTGGCATCTTCCTGCATCTGTGCAGGGGGGTGTTCCATAGACCTCTGGTGTCAAGCCAGGGGCCTCCTCCATCATTTGCTGCTGCTGGGGGATAGTGGAAATTCTCTCCCATTGGCGGACTCACAAGGGGGGGGAACATGAGTCCTGCTTGAACTAACTGAAGGCTTTGGGGTGTGTGTGTGTGTGTGTGTGTGTGCGCGCGCGCGCGCATTCTCTTAGTAAAGCCACATGTTCTCAGAGAACTGTGGGGCTTCAGATGCTGGAAAGCTGTTAAGACAAAGGCTGCTGGTCTAAGTTTTGGAGTTCAAAAGCTGGAGATAGGTGCAGGGCAGGGGGACTCAATTTTTCCTGAACAATTTTAGGTTCACAGCAAAATTAAACAGAATGTAGAGTTCCCGTATGCCATCAGCCCCTACAAATGCATGATCCCCTCCACTATCAACATTCCTCACCAGAGGAGTGCATTTGTTACAACTGATGAACCTCCACTGGCTCATCCTATTACCCAACGTCTATATCAGGGTTCATTCTTGGTATTGGACGTTCTATGGGTTTGGACAAATGTGTGAGCACTTATATCTACTACTATAGTATGCAGAATGTTTCATTGCCGTAAAAGTCTTTGTGCTCTGGCCTAACCCTTGACAATCCCTGATCTTTTTACTCTCTCTCGAGTTTGCATGTTCTAGAACATCATATTGTTGGAATCATGTAATATGTAGTCTTTCAGATTAGTTTCCTTCACTTAGTAATATGCACTTAGT